GGGGGGGGGGGGGCTTAGAAACTACTAGACTCGCCGGCGCGCTTCGTGAGCTGGCTCGCCTCGTCTCACGTGCATATCTCTTCCCCGTTCGCTCTCCCAACCCAAACACGGGAGTCTGCTCACAGGCTACGTGGATGTGCAAAACTCTTAACATATTCTGAGCATTCGTTCCACCTCACTAGAAGCGTGAACCTTTGGGTTCATCAAGCATGCGCAGTATTAAACGTTGTCCACGATGGTGGACGTGAATAGGTAGAAGTTTCGAATAGTCAGAAATTTTCAGCCGGAATTCTGATAATTTCCAAACAACGACAGCAACAACAACAACAGCAAACGTGTCTTGGGAAAGCTCAAGAGAAGGATACTGCCAAGGAATTAATTTCACGTTATATCGATTAAGGCAGTCTTAGATGGGAGTGTACACACAATATAAACAGAACTTGACCTTGCCTTTTGACTGAAGAAAGTTCTTGAGAGTAAGAAGTATCTTGCCTTTTTCAAAAGGACAGAAAATGTCGATAAGATCATCGCAACAAATTGAAGCAAAATTACTGCAAGGTGAAAGGTTTACATGCGTATTTTAAAACAAATTCACCTCGTCTTGAATATCGTTTTAACCTGCTGAGCTGCTTATGCTGCCTCGAATCTTCAAACTCCTAATTTTTTCAGATTAATAACGAAGATTTGGAAAAGCTTTTGGGACAAATATGCAACATTATCAAATCTCAACAGAAATCGTATTTCTGCAAATGTGTTTTGATCTTGTGTGAATATCCAGTTACTAGATAAGGACAGCATTCTTCAGTGTTTCTACTCAATCTACAATAGACGAACTGAACCAGAGGCTGTCAGCGTTGTCATCGCATTTCCTTCGTGGTAAGTGGTGGAACATTTTCTGCATTTTTTTTGTCCAAATGCAAACTTATAACAAAGCTGGCAAAAAATCTTGCTATTTCCTAAGTTTAAGTTCATTTCTAGCTCATTTATTTTAATATAATTGTATTTGCTGTTTTTATAGTGTGTGTTACCGTATTTAAAGTCTAGCAGTCACCCCCTATACGGAACAATGGGTTGACTCCGGCGCGATCGCCGGAAATAAGGTTTAAAAAGACAGACGAGCTAAGTTGTATTCTCAGTTTTTTTTGTCTAATCCTACTTAATAGCAGCCAGGGATTTCGACAAATTATTTTTACAGCGAAGAGGACGGTTAATACAAAACAGATGCGGCATTTTAGACGGATATGGTACTGCCTCTTTCAATATTTGCCGGAGATTTCACCCTCGCCCGGGACCTAAGCCGCCATTTTGATTTGAAGTCTTTTAGGTCCTTTTAGAGTACAGTATTCACCTTTCCGATAATGTTGGTGGCGACCAAAATTAACTCTGATGTTAATTTTTTTATATAGCAAAAGTAAACATTGTTCTTTTGAGCACTAAAACTACTAAGCATGCGAATTAAGGTGCATTGTGAAGTGAGTAGGTAATTATTTGAACAAAGACGTTTATGATGTCTATTCAAACCGGAGACAAAAATATAGCTTATTAACTTAAATGGAATATTAAAACAAACAGAGCGCGATTATCAGAGCGATATTCCCTCGGTGGATTCGTGATCGCCGCTGACGCGGCTGGTTGACGTGATTTCAATATTTTCTTCATGTTCTAATTGAGTTAGCACATGTGCCGGGCGATATTAGAACCAAAACAAATCACCGCGCGGTATTTTAAGAAACGATGTAAATGAAATGAAGCAATATCTCTCTGTTAAAAAGACTTGACAAAGCTTAAGATTACGCCCCGTAGAAGCGAAAGACGATTAAAATGCATTGAGCTAGATTTAAAATGATGATTTACGAAACCACGCTTGGAATTCATCAAAGGTTTATGCGTGATTCCGCGGCTACGAGGTAACTCGTTTGTTAACAACAATAATAGTAAGAAGAGCTAAAATTGAATTGTGTACCTACCGCTAATTGACTAGCGTATCTATCACACAATCACTTATTTCGCTTCGGATACAAGACCACCGTGCTTTGGAAGAAATTACAAACCCCAGCATGTGTTTGCTAGAGGAAAAATCAAAATTGTTTCAGAGAGTACACAAAGCAAGCTAGCTCAAATCCAACGTTCTGGTTCAAATATTACAGCAAATAAAAGCCAATTTCCGGTTTGTACGCTGCTTGTTTCGGACTGACTTAAGCTCGAGGTTCCAAAGCTGGAAAAAAATGAACTATTCTGGTACGATTCTCTCATACACGGTTGCGAAAGGAGTTTTTACGTCAAATTTGCGCAACAGAAACGTGATACGAGAGAAGAAACCTGAAAGCAGTTTCCCGTGTAAAATAGGTCCTTGCCTGTTTGAAATAACGAAGGTAACTCGACTCACCTATTGATGTTGTTAATAGAGCGTTAGCTTCTACAACGCACAGAAATGTCTTCGACGTGGTCTCTGTCACGGGCGGTAGGGAAAACAACCTGTGTTTTTCATCTTCCAGGTCCTTAACCACCAGAAAATGCCTCAATCAGTTTTGAGAGCTTGTAATCTTTACTCACAAGAGCAGTCCGGTTTCATCAAGATTGCTCGCAAAACGATCATTGCAGTTTCAAATCGCGTTCAAATTACAGAGCTATGACGTACCGTAATTGAAGAAGGGTCCAGTGATGAATGATAGTAAATCTCGGGATTTTTGAGGATCATAACGAGCCGGAAAGCACGCGAAAAATTACAGCAAGTGCATTGAGGGAGTTCCGGGCTAAAAATAGGGTTGAAAATATTGTCTTGGATTTTGTTCCGGAAAAGTTGCATATCGGTATATCCTAGTTTGAGAGGGACGCACTTTTCTTCGGTATTTTTATCTTCCCTCGAGGCAAGGAAAAGTATTTTGAAGCTAAGCACATGTATATCTTAGGTTTCGTCGTCTAGACTTCTTTGAGGACTTGACATGAATGCAAAGAAGATTTCAACAGCATACTAAGGTCAAATGAGTCTTTGCAGGTTGTCTATTGTAGTTGCTCTCACATGGGGGGAAACCGTATTTGCTTTGCGTGATCGAAGCAGGGGATTTTGAGCGCGATTTACCGGTAGCGGAAAAATGCCTCTGATCTGGCTCTCTCTTGCGCAAAGTGCGAGCGATCACTACCAAGGACTGGGGGCTAGTGAAAAGTAAGCGTCGGAGACTCTCTTCGTGACGCATTCGTTCTATACCTATACCTTGTAGAGGCGCGGTGGCCTCATGGTTAGTGCGCTCGACTCCGGATCGAGTATTCCGGGTTCGAGCCCTGGCTGGGGACATCGTGTTGTGTTCTTGGGGAAGACACTTTACTCTCACAGTGCCGGAGAGTTAAATGCTGGGGGTAACCCTGCGATGGGTAGCCCACGTTGAAGCACGAGCGCGCGCGGCATAGCGGCGAGCGCGAAATCGAGCGGCGAAGCCGCGAGACGCCAGACTCCTTCCCGCCGGATCGCTTTGCTCTTCGCCCGGCGCCCGCTCGCGCGTGTGACTCAAAGGTGAGCCTGCTCGCACGCTACATCTAGGGAGCTGATGGAGGAGAAGAAATATTCCTAGTCGCTTCATGCTACAGAACCCGGGATAAGCTCCCGTCTGATGGGCCACTTGGCTCGTATGCAGACTTAACCTTACCTCTATGCCTTCATTGCCGGGTTCCTTTGTAAAGATCAGTCGCTCAGTAATTCACTGAGTAGCTATAGTGGAAACGAATTGAAAAACACAAATACCATATGGTAAAAAAATTCCGCCTCTCTCATCTCATGCCATTGATCTCATCACAGACATTTTGGCTCATTAAATGTAATTCTGTGATGGCTTTGGCGCAATGACGAATTGAGCACGGATGGCGATGCTGAACCCACGACATCAAATATTGTGATCTCGCCCGCTTCATTTAGATTTACTGAACCTGATGGCTCCTGACTTGAACGTGATCTGTGATAAAGGGTGAAGTAAACGTGACATACGACGAATAGACCTTATCACGGTTTTCGACGCCATCTTGACGGGTAGGCAAAGCGGTCAGGAATTACAGTGTTTGTATGGGAATCCGATGGCAAATAACTTTTTGCAAACTTTTTGTCTGTAAATTTGGCTGGGTAGACGCGGTTCGCGGGGAAAAAAAACTTACAGACAAATGTATGGAAAATTAGAAAAATTAACTGAGCGTCTTCTAGCCAAGCTACATCCTTCAAACTTGGTGAATACAATCTTCTACCTAGTATTTTAACGTTGCGATTCACAAATTGTGTAAAATTCAATTCTGGAAAAAAGTTATTTGCCATCGGATTCCCATATATACAAACACTGTTTACAGTGTTTGTATATATGGGAAATGACGCAAATTGTATATATGGGAAATTACAGAAATTACAATTTCTGACCGCTTTGCCTGCCTGTCAAGATGGCGTCACGCAATTTTTCGGCAGAATAAAGAGAACTCTTTTTCACTACCGGTATTTGTTTTCTTTCCGTCTTTCTTATTTATCAGATCACGCCTTTTTCCGGCTTTTGTTGGTATCGGTAGCTAGCCATCACACAAATAAACCGATTGTATTCTCTCTACAAAAGAAAAAGTCCGGAGATCAAAACTACATAATGAGGTTGTCACGCAATTGGAGCAGGAAAACTGCGTGACGAGTACACAGCACGTCTGCAGAGGAAGCTAAAACAAGAAATACAAAACACACTTTTCAAACATCGCATTATTTTGCCCAATACTTTTACTACGAACTTACGTTTTGACACAAATCTAAAAAAATTATCGACAATTCGTGCACAACTGCAAAAGGGATTTGTAGGTCTACCAAAATATCGTCCTTACAACAATTAGAACTTCTCTCAGTTGTATAAAACTATATTCGTTTATTGTAAAAATCATCAAGTTTAATAAAATATTATCTTCATCGCAAAATCTATAACCAATTGAATAATTAATCAGTTGCAAATGTTCCTTGAAACCGTACATAAGCTTATCTCAGTAAATTTGTGATTATTTCCGTCAGATTTCTGTTTCTACGAGAACTGGTTCGAAACTGATCCATCAAGTTTTCTTAAGGAGACGAGCTGACAGAGCGGTCGTATTACATTTTGATTGGATACTTGAACTTCGGGCGCTTTAAAGAGGATCTGCCAAAAACAAACGTTGCTCTCAGTACGAATCAACAGCGAGCTATCTAATGCCTGTCCCACTTTGTTGAAAAATACTGAACAAGCCAAGAATGTAAACTTGGTTAGAGGGTTATATAATCGAATATTCAGCCTTGAAATCGCGAACCAACTGCAGTCGTTTATTTTTAGGGAGGGCGAGGGCCCGCTATATCGTTTTTGGGTCAGCGCGTTTCTAAGTAACGAAAGTAACGACGTTACTTCGTACAGCCTTTGGAGCGTGTTCGTGTTTAGACGTACAACATTGATTTAAGAAAAATAATTGGAGACCACTGTCCGTCTTGTCCGACACCTTCAACAGCAACAGGTCGTCCAATGCATGCAAACAATTTTCTTTATACTCCTTACGGGACGAAATCCTTTAATGCTCCAAGGTTTCGTCTTTAACACACTCATACTCCTGTCAAAATCTGGTTGTCAACTTCGATTGAAGAATCAATGGTCTCCTTTCCGAGTGAATATGCTGAAACTGAAAGAAAAAAACAAACTGAAAGTAAGTGAAACAACAGTCTGCAATCTACGGCAGGTTTATCGGAGAAAACGTCTTCAGTTTTGTTGTTTGTAGCCAGCGCTAATCTTTTCCAGTCTTGACCATTCTGTTTCTTCTTGGGTTCTGGTTACATCTTTCATGCTATCAAATTTATAGTGAGCTACTCTAAATCAATCCCTGTTATGTATTGGAGCGTTATTTGCAAAACTGATTTGTATCGTTTAACTTGTTTGCGCCAGAATGTGCGACGCGGCAACTCACATTGCTACTTCCAACACAAGTCACTGTAAGATATTTCGTTGCCTGTTTTCCTCTTCATGACAGGTTTGTTTTCAAGATTTCATAAAACCAAACTCTACAAATTAGAGTATACACTTGACAGTATGTATTTGTTTCACGGGAGGGGCGGGGGGNGGGAAGGGTGAGGACATGTCTTTGGGTAGCAAATAACCTGCCGAAAAAAAGAACACCTGATCGTAGGTTAGGTAGCAAAGTCAACACGAACTCACATTCTTGAAATCCCGGATTCTTCTTTCCTTGGTGTCACTCTGGGTGAAGACATTTTTCTTGCTGGATGACCATATTCGTCCTCTTCAGCATACCTTGAAATTCAAGAGACATGGATGTTACCTTGACAACATACCCTTGTTAAACTGATAATTCGTGATACTGGAATTAAATGCGGGTGTTATGATGTCATTACACTTGACTAGGAGATTGTACAGGAAAATTCATTACCTGACTCGTGAATTCCACGTTAAATTTCACGCGAAAAACCCATATCGGTTTTTCAAGTGAAATTTACCGTGGAATTCACGAGTCAGGTAATGAATTTTTCTTCAATTAGATAGCCTTCTTTTTAATGAACGAAAACCTCGTTTCATTTACGTCTGTGTCGCGCAAAGCCTCGCTTTCAAGAGTCGCAATTGCACGCAGAATACCTCGCCTAGGTAACCAATCAGGGTACGAGAATTCTCTGAGCTATGCGATTCTATACAATATTATGTCTTAATGAAGCTAGAGCAAGCGGCATGCTTTCACGATCTCTTCGCAGATCCTGGAAGAAAAGCACTTATAAAGTACAGAGAAAAGAGATAAATTTCAACTGCATCCTTTAAAGTCAGATTATAACAACATTAAAAACTCAACTGCATTCTCTGAAGTCGGTTTATTCAACATGTAGAGCGTGGCATAAACACTTTAAGTCTATTTGAATCAACCACTCAACATAATTTATATAAGCTGCTTATGTATTTTAGTTCAATTTGCAGATCAAAGGTATTATAAAAGTCATCATTGATTTCATGCTGGTGAAGGTTATCAAGAATTGAAATGACGTGTCTTCCCCCCGGATCATCGAATCACGTGGCACCCAGGCTAAATTTGTTTCTTACACCAAGCTTCTTTGGGCCAAATTTCATGCTTTCTTCCGCTCTGTTAACATCACGCCTTAAAATCACCCTTAGCCACCTCACTAAAAAGGGTTCGTTAACAGCAGAAAAATGTACAAAGTCTGTTCAGCAGAGCCTGTTGTCCTCACAGGAAATTAAAGAGAGCAAGGGGTTCTATAAGTTCTCTGAAGTTTCCGTTCTTCTGCGCTAGAGATATAACCGTTTTCAAACGCAAAACGTTACTTACCCGGGTTTGTAAATTCTGAGCTCGTCTTGTAAAGCGAATACTTTTTCCTTCAAGTTGTTTCTTTCAGTTAAAATCTCCAGCATCTCTGCCTTGGTATATCGAGGCCGGTTTGGATCTTTATTTTCCTTGCCGTCTGCTCGTCCCTGTCGTTGATTTTCTGCGCGTCTTTCTTTTCTTTCCTCGTGCGATTTTTCACTGTTGTACCCCGTTTTCGTTGTCCGACCAACAATTTCCCAGTCACCTCTGTTTTCCTCTTCCTCATCGTTTCCATTCTGCCCTACCATCATTTCGTTTTCTTTCCCACCCTCTATTACATTCGCCTTGTTATTTCCGACATTATTTTCATTATTGTTCAAAACGTCCGCATTTTCTTCCCTTTCAAGTTGTAGTCGTGGTGGTTTTGGCGGAGGCTTGCCATTGCTTAAAGGTGCGACGTCTTCAGTATTTCCTTCAGAATTTTGAACTGTTTCCTCGTCAACTCCCTCTCCTTCCTCTTCTTTAGCGTCATGTTCTTCACTGAAGGAATCCATAAATCCCTCTATATCCTCAGCACCACTCTCGTCGCTTTGCAGCGGTGTGTCATCTTTATGTCTGAGTGCGCGCAGTTCTGTTTGCAACTCCGCCTTTTCTTGGGCTAGAGTGTGTATTCGTGTCTTGCTGGCTCCCAGGGTTTTTCGAACACTCTCATTGATGGTGGTCAGCCGTTCAATTTGCTCTTCCATCTGAAAGAAACAGTGTGATAAAAGCGCAGTGAAACTTAAACTGAGAAATCTTCCATCTGAACCACTGTCACAACGTTACACTATTCAGAAAATAACGCAACTTGATGAACAAAAGACCATTCAGTTGTGTTACAAATTACATCTTTTCAGTGGCGCTCTTCGTTATTACTGATTATTCGTATTAATTGTTACGCGTAGTTGCGTGACAAGCGTGAACGTGCTAACTAGATGTTGATCGCTAAAGTGAGTCACGCTAGTCACGCACACAGTTCATTAGAGGTACATACCGCTTGCAGGTCATTTCTTAAGCTATCGATCTCCATGTTTTTACTTCTTATGGTGTCCCTTTGATTATCAATTGTCTCCTTCATCTTGCGCATCAACTCAGCATCACCTGGCGCGCTTATATAAGCCGTAGCTATAAACCAAAACAATCAACAATCTACTCTCTCTTTTAACAGGAGAAGGAAGGCGTTACATGCAGTTTATTTCCCCCTGTAAAAAGCATTGTTCGAGTTTGACCCTTAAAGTTAAAACGACAAAACTCAAGTACCACATGACTCCCACAGTTACTTGGTCAAGTCCTTGGAGTAATTACATGTACTTGAAACAAGGACGTTATTTATATAGTTCTGCACCTATAATCCTCTCTCTAATGTTTGCACTTCGTTCAGTGATGGCAGTGAAATCATGACACTGATTTCTAATGGGAGCAGCTAACCTTGGAACACCTTTGCATTTCTTTATGACTACTTCTGAAAATGCGTGTCATAATTCTTGATTTCATTTGTACAATTACCTCCACTAGCCTGTGAATTTAATGGTAAATATAGCCTATACACTGTAGCACTGAACCCAGGAACTTAATAATTAGAACAGTCTTCGTTTCTTCATTATATAGTTGACTGGTCATTGCTGCATGGCATGGTAGCTAATGGATTTGGGTGTGGTGGGGTACCATTTAGCATGTTAGTACAGGACAGGACATTGAATGGTCATTGCTGCATAGCATGGTACCATGGGTTAGGGTGTGGTGGGGTACCATTTAGCTTGTTACTGCAGGACAGGACATTGACTGGTCATTGCTGCATAGCATAGTACCATGGGTTTAGGTGTGGTGGGGTACCATTTAACATGTTAGTACAGGACAGGACATTGAGTGGTCCTTGCTGCATAGCATAGTACCATGGGTTAGGGTGTGGTGGGGTACCATTTACCTTGTTACTGCAGGACAGGACATTGAGTGGTCATTGCTGCATAGCATAACACCATGGGTTTAGGTGTGATGGGGTACCATTTAGCATGTTAGTACAGGACAGGACATTGAGTGTTCACTGCTGCATAGCGTAGTACCATGGGTTTGGGTGTGGTGGGGTACCATTTAGCTTGTTACTGCAGGACATGACATTGAGTGGTCATCGCTGCATAGCGTAGTAACATGGGTTTAGGTGTGGTGGGGTACCATTTAGCATGTTAGTGCAGGACAGGACATTGAGTGGTCATTGCTGCACAGCATAGTACCATGGGTTTGGGTTTGGTGAGGTACCATTTAGCATGTTACTGCAGGACAGGACATTGAGTGGTCATTGCTGCATAGCATAGTACCATGGGTTTGGGTGTGGTGGGGTACCATTTAGCATGTCAGGGTAAGACAGAACAGATCTTCCCTTTACTAAAAGGCATTCTAAAATCTTTACATGCCTGTTACCTCACCTGGTTGAGTACTAGCCGTTACTTCAAACTGCATTCTCAGTTTTTTGTTTTCCTCTTGTAACTTTATTAACATGGTTTTAAGATTGTCTGTTTCCCCTGTTGAGGACAGCTGATACAGCTCCTAGAAAATACAGTACAATCTATGTTAATATGACATCTTATTTCCCTTAAAATAAATTTTTAACAATTTTTTTTCATCTTAATGGAGTTTGGTTCTGACTCAAAGAAGAGTTGTCAGTTCTTTGATAGATACATCATCAGAGAACAAGCTAAAAAATATACTAGTCTTGTATCAATAATATTGTTAAGTATCTGAGCAGAGGGCTACACTAGTACAGGTCTTTGAATGCATTACATGCCTACAAAATAACTGTTGTCCTTGAGCAGAGTTTAAGATAGTCCTTAAAGCACACCCAGTGGGAGGCACGGTGGCCTCTTGGTTAGCGGGCTCGTTTCTGGATCAAGTGGTCCAAGTGCGAGTCCTGGCGGGGAACTTTGTGTTGTGTTCTTGGGCAAGACACTTTACTCTCACAGTGTCTCTCTTCACCTGGGTGTATAAATGGCTATCAGCAAACTTAATGCTGGGGGTAACCCTGCGATGGACTAGCATCCCATTCAGGGGGAAGTAGAAATACTCCTTGTCACTTCGTGCTACAGAAACTGGGATAAATTCCACCCTGATGGGCCACTTGAATTGTATGCAGACTTAACCTATTTTAAGCACACCCATGCAGCATCACACCTCAGTATTACACCCATTTTCAAAAACATTAACAAAGTTCATCAATATGAAACCAGTCTGGCCAGTAGGAAATCATATATATTTACCCAGCACTTTAAGCCCAACTAAGGGAAAATTAATACACGTTTTAACAGTGCTAAACTCTGGAAATCTCCAATCCAAGAGCAGTACTAATGCTTCAAAAATCTCTTTGAAGATCATCTATCATTTCCAACTACTGACTGATACATTCATGTACTTGAAATTTTAGTTATCAGGGCACAACCCCTGACCATTTTTTTTTTTTTTTTATCGTGCATGTTTGTACACTTGTATGGTGTAGGTGTATGTTCTATTTCTTCCCCATTTTTTACCATTTTTCAACATGGCCCAGCCACTTATCATAACTAGCATTTGCCATTTCTTAGTGGCTAAGCTCTCTCTATCCGCAAATATTAAACCCTGAATCAATTCATTTTTCTTAAATGTAAATCTAATAGAGCACAAATAAAGATTGTTGTTGTCAGTTAAAATGTCTCAGCTCATTGGGCTTAGCTCATGAGAAAATTACTCCTACTTTCCTTGCCCCATCAGTTATTGGTAAGCAAATATATACAGAACCATGCACAGTACAAAAATTTCTGTTCGTATTTAAGATCAATTACAATACTGAAGACAAAGAAAGGTGTAAAGAACTGCAAAAGTAATCAAAAAGGTTCTGGCAACCTTCTGTTATTAGCTGATGACCTGCTGTCTGTTCTATTAAGTTATTATTGACCTCTCAAAAAAGAGCCTCATGACTAGAGCCTTATGGCAATGTCAATTCCTAGCATTCCCAAACTCCCCCTTCCTCTTTGCCAGGTGAGATGTCCAATTCATAAGTACATGCTCTTATTGAATTCTCAAAATACTGCAAGACAAAGAAAGGTGTAAAGAACTGCAAAAGTAATCAGAAAGGTTCTGGAACTTTCCTTTATCAGCTGATGACCTGCTGTCTGTACTACAGTTATTATTGATCTCTTAAAAAGAGCCTTATGGCTAACATTGTAAATTCCTAGCATTTTCAAACTCCCCCACCCGCCCCCCCCTCCATTGCCAGGCAAGATGTCCAATCCATAAGTGCTTGCTGTTATTGAATTCTACGAATGCACTTACTGATTGCAAAGCTGTCGTTATTAATAGCTTATCACTGGCAGTCACACAGAAAAATATGGGCAGTAAAAGTCCCCAACAAGCTGGGGGCATTATTTGTTATGTTTTCTCACTTTCCAGATCAGTGCATTGCTCCAAAAGCCAGGACAATGGTTGAGATCTATTTATTTGTTAGCCTGTTCCAGGCTTTCTTTCAATATTGGGGACAATAAAAAAAGAGGGACCAAGACAAAAACAAGTGATGATGGCTGTGGTCTAAGAAAAATTACAAGGAGCCCAAAGGTTCCTAACAATGAAATCCTGCGTGCCCAGCACTTACCTTCTATAAAACAAGTAAAAAAGGTAAGTTGAACCCTGGATGAGTTATTTGCAAACGATATCACTTCCATCATATCATTAAAATAAAATTTTGAACTTGGACCATGGGTCAGGCATTTGCAGTCTTCTCGAAGCTGGCCCCACAGTGGGACGTCAACAACATTTTTTCCAAAAAAAAAATGACAACTGCCCGACAAATACCTGGGGATAGGTCCACTTGAAATTGACACAGCCTTTACCTGTCAGGTCACCAATTTACCCGTACCTGGCTCTAAGCCATATTGCTCTAATATGGGACTACTTCTCGAGACTCTTAGCTTTGATAGGGGAATAGAAAAGATATTTCATACATGATGAAAGTCATCAAGAGCATCTTTTATTGTATGAAACCTGAAGCTATGGTAATTGAAGCTATGGGCATAATTGGTTGTGAAAAGGTTACATCAGCATACAAGCCAAGTGGCCAGGGCCATCAGGCCAGCACTTATCTCCCATTTCAATGGTATGAAGCGACCAGGAGTATTTCTACTTCCCCTGCCCCCCCTCCCCACCCCTCTGGATGTGATGCTTGATCCATAGCAGGGTTACCCCCAGCATTAAAATTTCCCGGTACCCATTTATACACCAGGATGAAGACAGGCACTGAGAGAGTAAAGTGTCTTGCCCAAGAACACAACATGATGTTCCTGGGCAGGACTCAAACCCGGACTGCTTGATCAAGACTTGGGCGCACTAACCACGAGGCCACCCTACCTTCAACTTGATTGGCCGTAATATACTTCATCAGCTTATCAGCTTTAACAGCTTATTAAAATATATGTACCAATATACAATAATTCAGCACAGGTCTAGTAAGTCACTGAACTGGAAACTGTTTAAGAACACATTTTGGATTATAGAAACATGTTGTCATTCTCAATAATTCAAAAGAAACTTTTGATATTCTAATAGACACTAACTTTGAAATTCCACGACTTGAGTCAGAATAAGCGCTGTTTTCATCCCTCATTTTCTCCAGTCTTCAAAACTTAAATAATTTTAATTGATCTTGAAATTATATGTATTGGGTTATAATTCATTGTTTGCCCAAAGAAGCAGCTAGACGTGCATTATCATCAGAGAAGTATAATTAAGTTTACAGCGGAACTTCTGGAAAGCACTTAATTCCAAGACAAGGATTAATATATAATTGAAGAAGTAACTGTGGTTCGCCGTAAAGCGACCCGACACTTACTCCACAACAACTCATGATCCTGGAGTTTAGCCCATGATCAACTATAAATAGACTCGGATATGATGCAAGGAGTCATTGTCAAGTAACATTTTCTTCGAAAGTCATTGACTATTAATAAATGCAGTTTTCCAGCTTTATATCGTAATATTAGTGCTTTTTTCAGTGCTCTACAATACTCTTAAACAACAGTAGAAAACATAAGCGCCAATATAAAGTACAGTACAGTCTTCATTAACTGAAGAAGAAACACGAATATTGATTTCGGTCGCTTCGCCCAAAACAACAACTTGTTGCTTCACTAGCGCATGACCCACTGGCGCGCTTTTGTACTTCTCCCGATTGACCTCTTTGTAGCTTACTTTTACGTCTGAGTAAAAGTAACAGCTGATAAGGTGAAGTAAGTTTCCTTAAATGAACAAATTATGCTACCTGCCACAAGTCGAAAGATCATGCTACATGTAAAATGTCCATCATCGATGGACTGTTCATTTTCGCGTATTAGCGCGCGCATGCATGATGAAACAAATTACTTCGCAGTAAACTTACCTCGTCTAGTTTCCTACGCTGACTTGCCTCTCGCTTAATGTCCAAGTAGAGCCTTTCATTTTCTAGTTTCAGTTCAGCGATCTCGAGTTTGTCCTTTTCTCTTTCACCGACAACGATCTCAAGTTTCTCGAGCACACGAATGATCTTAGGCATCAAATCCATCATTGCGTCGTGTCCAAAACGTTCGATAATTTTCTCAATATCTTGCCCAATGAGAGAAGCATCTTCGTAGACATCGGCAGTCGTGAGATCGGCAGCCATGATGTGATCACAACACGAAGACCAACTCTTGAAAGTACCTTTCTCTGGATCGCGCGGGTTAAAGATGTCGCAATTGATTACAAGAACGCTGTCAAAAGCGTTGATTAATTAGCAGTTTCACGGACAAGGCTTGATAACGGTGTAACCAAAAAATTCTCGTTAAAAGAACCTTAGATGAATAACGACTTCCGTACAAAAATAACTAGGGATCTGGGAAACATACGTGTGTACACTCTCCTTGTACCGAACCTTTGAGTCGTGTTTGTTCTCTGTGCCTCAGATTCTTCACTTCCTGTGTTTCGCGGCGAAAACGCACTTCCGGTGCCCCAATCCAACGGGTCAGCGGTGTCTCATTCAATATGGCGGAACAGACGGTCAAAGCTTGATCCGAGCGAGGAACCACGTTTCACCGGGGTAAAATGGATTTGATTTATAACGTGGTGTGGTCAACAGCAAAGCCAATTAAGAGGTAAAGGGTGCATGATTATTTCATGAATACTACATTTACTGTTTACTAAAGACTGTGTAAAATTTGAACAATAGTTTGTTCTGTCAGTACATCGTGTGTGTCTGATTTCCTTTAAAATGTTAACACATCATCAATAGTTTGTTAATGTCCTGGCCCACCAATTCAAACCATCTAGAAATGAAATGGAAGAAAATCAAAAAAGCTTTTTCAACCAGTCTTTTGTCTATTACTGGCACTAGTACAAAAGAGATGTCTTTGGGTTTCCCCTTTGGGCAAGCTCTAACTGTGATGTACATGTATTATGTGTGCTCTGAAAATCATTCTCATCAGCCCCCGATAAGTTCACCTTTTGCGTTGATTAATCTCAACAACAACAATTTGAATTTTCTCAAAAATTTTCCCAAGAAACTTCACATTATGCTCATCTGTGACGGACAGTATCCAGCCCAACTGGAAAATCCACTAGCCCTGGGCTATCAGGTACACGTACTTGATTATTATCAGTTGAGTAAGGCGTGACGAAAGTGTGGGTACCAGGTTTTTAGGTTCAACTTGTGTTGTCGTCACAGGCTCTATTTCCAGTGACAACTTGTCAGCCTTTGATGTCATTGGCAACAAAGTGCACGAAATTGCAGGCAACATTATTGTTAACATTGGGAACGAGTAAAGTTGCCCGTGGCAGCATCGTAATTTCAAGTCCAAAAGCTCTGTCACGCCATACTCAACTGATAAACGTAGTAGGACTTTCTTTGCACAATGTTTTTGTAACAGATCTGCACCTTCTTTGTTCAATCTGATTTTACTTAAGCTTATATATAAGTTTACTATTTCTTTCTCACCCTTAGCAATCTTTGTGGCAAAGTGGTTGTTGCTTGGTCCTGCAGAAATCTTGTAGCGTTCAGTACTGGGTACAGGAGACTTCATTCTGGTGAAGGAAGCAATCCAAGTGGTGCAAATGAACAAAGTAAAAGGTATTTGAAATGCTCAGGGATGTACCTAAGATATAAAACTGTCAGAAATCTCCTTGCCATAGGCAGGAATTAGGCATTTAGAAATGGCACCAAAACCTACATGTAGCCATTTTCTTCCTATTTCCTAGTAGATCAAGCTGGTGAAATCCATGTAGCAGATGGCTAATATGTTCCCTGAGTGTTTTGATAAGTGAATATGACATTTTTAGATGTCTGTGAAATGCTAAATGCGTACATTTAGGAATTTTATAGATATACATATAATTATACAAAATTCTTTTTTTATTTCTTCTTTGCCCCTTTAGCTGTTAGGTTCTTAGTCTAAATTCCTCTTCAGTTTCGAAAAAAGTTAGCATTGAAGAAGACTTGGGATCCTCAGTTCCTCAGTGTGTGACAAAATATTGAGAACACAGTTAGAGCAAGCAAAACAAAACAATGAGAATTATACAAATGTACACAGCTGGGTACCTCAACCCTAAAGGTAACATCATTGCATGATGCTGTATCTTCTATTTTATTTTCCAGATCACTGATCACAAATGCCATTAATATCTTGGATCCTGATTCCCCTTGGGATGTGTGCAGGTATATAAATGCTATGTAGAAAATAATCATTACAACTCCGGTAACTTTCTCATGTGGGAGACATGTGGCATAATTATGGAGGCTAAATGATTACCTTTGACTTTGGATCAAGTAGTCAAGGTTTGAGTAATAGCAAAGATCATCATTCTGAGTTTTTGGGCAAGACGATAAATACTAACTCTGTCAGTGCCCTCCCCACACAGGAGTGTAAATGGCCATCAATGATCTCCCTTGATAACCTTACAAATTACAGGCCGGGATAACCTCAGAATGAACTCCCCCCCCCGAAACGAAGGAACAAGACTTCTCCTGTAGCTGGTTCATTTTACAAAAACCAGAATACCTGTAAGCTCTGGCATTGATAGTAGGCCAGTAGCCTGAGTGTACTTTTATGCCATCCTACAAATCTCCATTTTAAAGTTAACGTGCTTGGCTGTTTCATAGTCCACATGTACTGTAAAAGTGTTTATGGATGATGGAATCTCACTTGTTTGTGTACAGGTATCTCTATTAAACTGCTATTATTTCAATTAATTGTATTTAATGAAATAATTATTATTTCAGCTTTAATAGATGTTGACAAATTTCAACCAGTACATGAGTCACATTTTCTTTTCTTCACTACAGTTTTAGATCTGGTCATGAGGAGTTGATTCAAACTCTGACTTGGGATGGCACTGGATCAAGACTTCTCTCAACAGACCTTGTTGGAGTTTGCAAACTCTGGGTTATGAAGGTGAGGCTAATTAAATTGTTCATGGCAGTCTATAATTTAGTGTGCTCCACAATCTGCAAATGAAAGTTGGATTCTCATTCATTCTTTGGAATGCTGGTTGACTTATAAATGAGCTAGTAACACCTCTATGTACTGTACTGGTACCATTCTTACCAGTACTATTGATTGTCTTGGAGTAACTGGGAGGTCATCTGAAGGGAGATGTAAGAGAGGTTAAGGCCCAGGGCTATGTGGAGAAGGACTGTGGAGAGAGATTGTGGGATGATGGGTTTCAGCTCTTGCGGGTGGAGGTAGAATTAAAGGCGGCAGACAGGGCGGCTTGGAGCAAATTGTGCTTGTGCTTCATGTTGCATAAATATCTATCTTGTGGATAGTGTGGTTTGTTTTGTCAACACTTGTCCACTGGATAGTGATTTATCCAGGTGGATAGTGTTATCCACCCTTCGGACATCTGGAGCCTCATGTTTCCACTATGAGGAGACTACTAAGAGGAGAGCATTCAGTATTTTAAATGCTCAGTCATACTCGATCTTTACTGTTTTCTGGCATTAACAACTGCATTGATCAAGCTGTATGGAAGATGAGTGTCTGGGATGTCCGTGGGCCTCCACTGTGATCAGCCAGCCCCTAGACAGACATTTATAGCAAGTGCAGCATTTTGTTCGAAACTTTAAAACAAAAAAAAAACTGGACATTTTCCAAACTGTATTGTTTAGCTATGTAAACCAAACAATGTAAGTGGTCTTAACTATCATATTGTACTTGCTGTAATATTACTATTTTCCTCCTTTTATTTTGTTTAGTTTTTCCTATGTATATTGTGTTTGTAAATTAATTAAAAATAAATAAATAAATAAATAAATAAACACTCCCATGGCTGCCAATCTCCGCCACCCAGGCATGAGCCCCCACATACTGTCATCCAGGCACCTGTCACACTGAAATAACAGTGGAAAAGGGATGGAGAGGGAGGGGTAAAAAAAGACAAAGCAAAATAACAAGAAAAGCGTTTGACTATGCCACACTTTAACATGCTACTGCAATGGGGTGCCTCACTGCTGCCTGATCTGACTGCCTGATGAATGCAACCTTCTCTTTGTTGTTAACTTAGTTAAACTGCATTTAACTGTGTATTACATGTACATGTAATTTACTCAACATCATTATTCGTAAACATATTAATGTATGACTGGTTACACATGGCGACCATCTTCTCTTACTAACTGACTGAGGTTTTGTGGTTCTTCTCCTTATGTGACAGGATCATATGGTGAATGACTGGGAATGTGTTTGCACTGTTGATGTGGGTGAAGGAGAGAAATTAGTAGCCATCTCATGGATAGATACTGGCATTAAGGTAGGTGAACCCATGTTAACCCAGGTTCAGTAATAGCTGCTCAATTATTATTAATAGTTAGCAGGACTTTTTTAAAATGTTTTATTAAATGGAAAGTGGGGTACACTGAACAGATTTGCCTTATGAAACTTTGAGGTAAAATGCAAAGTTTCATGGAGATCTGATTCCAACTTGAGGAAATAGAAAATGTTCATGGTGGGAAAATTATTGAGAAGTTTTGATTTTTACAAGCAGCAGAGAAATGTGTATATTGTAAACTATGGTTGGCGAAATGGTGCAAAATTCACAAAGTTTATATTCAGTCACATTTAATGTTGTTATATTATTATTCACGAATATATTTATTCACATTCAACAACTAAATTTATTTTCAAGAAATATATTAATTCACATTTAATGACGTATTTCGTATACACGAATATATTTACTCACATTTTCGGGATGTATTCATTCACATTCAACGGTTTATATTCATTCACATTCACGATCGAAATATTGGTTCAACATGGTGCAATATTCATTCAACTTTTTCTACGCACCACCTTCGTGCATCATTAGGTCCCAGCTCACACTCTATAATTTCTGAACGCAATATGGTGGACGACCAAAGACCCCAAACATACACAGCTGAACATAAATGTTACATGGGCTAGAAGAGATAAAGGATGAGCAAGTAGATAATCTCATACAATGTTTTATGAGTGATCTTGGGACTTTGTTCGGGTATTCCTTGGTGATCGCACATCTTCAATCGTCATAGGTCTCAGAGTTCAACGAGATCGAATCAGGGAGAATATTGACCGCGCTGACCCTAGAAACTCTAGAATCCGCTGGGCTGTCATAATTTCTAGAGAGTGTATTCTGTGGTTGCTCCAAATAGCTTGTGGCATATTGACGGACACCACAGCCTGGTTACTGTCATGCATGGGGGTATTGATGATTTTCCTTTAATCTTTAATCTTTAACAAGGTACTCTGAAAACAATGTGAAAACTATACTGGCATTGTTTTTTTTTTTCGTTTAAATGTTCTACTAATAACAGAACTGTAGCATTGTCTGAGATGTGTTCCCCTCAGCAACTCAAAGGTTTGAGTGGCCATCAAGGATGTGAAGTGATCATAGGGATGAAAGTGTAAGGGTGTCTTATGACAGCCCAGCTGATTCTAGAGTCTCCAGGGTCAACGTGGCCAATAATCTCTCTCTTCCATCCTGTTGATTGATCACTCATCATGAAACACTCTACGAAATTGTCTAGTTGCTCATCCGAAATCATCGAGAAGCCCATACTCCACAATACGATGTTTCAATGTCCACTTTGAAACAAGAAGCATTTGAACTTTTTTTGTCCACATGAAACCCGATGATCTTTGTTGCAGAAGGAAAAATAAAAATTAGAATTAAACTATTTAGAGTGGAAGAGAGGGTTTTCATTCAGACCCTCTAGCCTGGTTGAATTGGAATTTGGAGATGCTGTTTTTTTCTGGGGGAGGAAAACCGGAGAACCCGCAGGAAAACCCTCAGAGCAAGGCGAGAACCAACAACAAACTCATCCCCAGGTCAAACTGGTGGGAGGCGAGGGCTCTCACCACTGCTCCATCCCCGCTCCCCAAGAACTACCTCCGATATTGAATATCGAGTTCGGAAGACCTCAAGGCTGGTCACAGAATACACAGCAAGGTTTGTGCAGTTTGATGAGTCGTGTCATATCCATTGTCCATGCGAAGACATACATTTCCCAGTATTTCATTCAGCAATGTGCTACGATACTAACGAAAGGTAGTAATTGTTGGAGAGCTATACTCGAGCTTTATTTGGATGTTCTCTCTCAATCCTACTTCTGCAGTGTTCCATTCTTGTTCACACTCTAGCTTGTAGGAGATCGAAAGTTCCTGCCAATGTAACATCTGTGTTTGGGGTCTTTGGTCTTTGTTCTTCCCATTCATGTAAGACCATATAATAAGCCTTCCTTCGTCTGCCATATTGCGTTCAGAAATTATATATGAGCTGGGACCTAATGATGCATGAAGGCGGTGCACAGAAAATGTTGAGTGAATATTGCACCGTGTTGAACCAATATTTCGATCGTGAATGTGAATTAATATAAACCGTTGAATGTGAATGAATACACCCCATAAATGTGAGTAAATATATTCGTGAATACAAAATACATTGTTAAATGTGAATTAATATATTTCTTGAATATAAATTTAGTTGTTAAATGTGAATAGATATATTTGTGAATAATAATAACAACATTACATGTGAATGAATATAAACTTTGTGAATTTTGCACCATTTCGCCAACCATAGTAGACCTGTCAATTTGTTCTTTAGGTCAAATTATTTCAAACTACATGTTGGTTAGTTTGAACTGTACCTGGTTCTGTTTGCTGATGTCTGTGTCTGCTTTTTTGTTTTGGCTGTGTCGAGATGTCTGGCAGCTGGACAGTGCTTTTAAAATACTTTGTGTCCAGTTAACCTCAATAGCATTCTGGTTAGCCTGTTCATAAACATAGTGCAAAGATTAGCTTGAATATTGCACCAGTTTGCCTGTTTAAGGTTAGTTCTCAATAATAATGGTTACATGAGGGCAGGTATATGAAAAATAATATCTGCTTACGTAATGTTAAGGCCATCAGAGAGCTTGCTTTAATTTGAAACAAAGTTAGATTTTGTCACTTCATGAAATATATTGATGCTTACATGTAGCTGTCTGGATAAGAACTAAAGATTTATTCAGTTGAGAAGTTAATCCACAGTACTTTAAATAACTGGCGCAGTACTACAGTGCCTGTTGCTGAGTTGTGATGAATTAAGAATTAACAAGTGAACATGTTTTATTTGCTCTTCTGCCAACAGAACTTGTTCAGCTTGTCTGAAGATCAGCAACTCTCTCAGCAACATCCTGTTATGCATAAGAATCTCAGTGAACGTTTCAAGACCAATCGAAGCAAACCTCCATTGGTCGAGATTGGAGGCATGAGGGCCAAGGATGGCTGGGTGGCTATCAGTGAAACTGGCCTTGTAAGTTACAAGTTAGGTTTATCATGATCACTTAGTTTTTAAGCTAAACTTGTCTGATAAGAAACAGTAGAGGGCCATGGTAGTGTGCCATGTAGTTTCATTAGATTAGGCATAAGACTGGAAACTACTTGGTGAAGTGACCCAGACGTCTCAAGACAGTCACTCAAATATACATCTCTAGCAATCACAAAATTGACTGGTACATCCCAATCTGTAAAAGTATGCATTGTTTGAGACTCAAAACTGGCAAACAGATGCTTAACAGGTTTCTTCAATAGCACTGTGATAACTTTATTAAAAACTTTTCAAATTCGAAAGCAGTAACAGTACGATGAGATGAAGTTATCCAGCTGAAGATGGCTGACTAGCCCAGGGGGGTTATTTTGGGAATTTCTGGGTAGGGATGTGCTGCTGGGACCCTGGAACCCTTAGCCTAAACCAGAGCTAGTTCAACTGAGTTTTGCTACCCTATGCTAGAGTAAACTTCCCAAATCCCCCCATCTATCGATACTGTGGAGGCTTATTTGCATAAATTTAAACCTACCGATTTGATTTTTTTATATTTTTGAGTGGCAATTTCTGGTTTCCTTAGTCTAGGTAAAATCTTCAACCAACTGGTCAGTTTCGTGAAAAATGATGCCCTATTCTGGGCTCAAATGCTCCGATTTATATACCCTATCCTCAAGTAAACTGCTTGAAAACCATACCCTTCACAGCGGCACATACCTATATAGCCCATATATGACAGTTCCCCCCTCCCCCCCCGGGCTGACTAGCCAGTGGTTTTGCACAGCTACCGACCCTAATTGGCACTCCCTGCAAGTTATGTATACGTGCACTGGATATTCTTTTTTTAATATAATATTGCAAAACACGAGAGACAGTGCCTTATCACAATTTGAAATACAGAGAAGAGAACTGAAAATATGACACGTAGTGGCTCAGCGTACAAATGTGATGAAACTCAAGTGTTTTATATAATTATCTTTTTAATCAAATGTCAAACTAGGGAGCAGAGGGAAAAATAAATAGAAAAACCTAAATTTAGAGTGGGTCACTGTCAGTGATTATTTTTAAGTTGATGAATTCATTATTAATTAGTCAAGGAATGAAACACATGATAAATATTAAATTTAGTGGTTAGAGAAGTAATACAAGACAGTCTGTGCTGTGTTTAGATTTGTGTAACAACCATCATGCCAGAAGTACAAATCACAAGAAAATGTTTGGCTCAAGTGAGGACAAGAGTAGCTGTGGCTGATCTGGCATTTTCTAGCAGTGAGTGTTTTTTGGAACATTTTACAAACAGTGTGCAAGTGATGTATCCACAAAGGCTGCTCTGAAATAACTGGCCATTGTACAACAAGTGCTACACTAGCAGAGTTGCTTCAATCTTTCTTATATAAACTTGTAATAAAATAAGAAGGGACTTTCTTCAGACTTCTTTCCCGACTCATCTAGAGAAAATCAAAGCAACTTCGCTAGCAAGGTTCATTGTTGTATTAAAGAGCAGAGGAGACTTTTAAGCCTTCGTTTCATCAAGAGTAAAATGATTGTATTGATTGGTGCATGGCCTGGACAAAAACTCTTGGTCACTGTAAGACTGGTTGCTGTCATATAGAGGCAACATGCAAAGAAAGTTGTCTGACAAGTGGATTCTGCCCTTTGTTTGTGTAATGGCCGACTGAAGTTTTTTTGCAGTCTGTCTGCAGACCCTCTATTTTGTCTGGAGTTTGTTGAGATTGCAACCAGACATTTATATTAACAGCAGGGATATGAGTGAGCCAAACTTCTAGGGGTGACTGGCTGTACAAAAATGGACAAATATGAATATTATAATAATGATCTTCACAAATTTAGACTTTTTGTTGGAAGCAATATGCAATTCTGTACCATTTCATATTTGCTTTCAAAAGATACACTTGAGAACAAATAAAGTTTGTGGCTGTAGAGGTCTTCCTCTGATTTTAAACCTTGGGAAGAACAGGAGGGGAGAATCCCATGTAAAAGGACAGGGGTGCTTGTCAGAAATTTTGAAAACAGCTCTTAAGAGTTCTTTACAAAGAACCTGCGTTGTGGACCTGGCTTGAAATTTTTTTCACCATTAAGAGGTACCAATTCTTAAACAATGTATTATCTCCTGACATATTTTTTCAGCTTAATACCCTAAAAGATACCGCAAAAGCTCCTGCTGTGGACCTTTTGAGACTGAACACTCTAAGAGCTACCAAAACCGCTTTTTTAACCCCTAAAAGATTCAATGAGCACCGCCATTTCTTTTATAAGGGAGTCCTCGCCCTTTGGGGGAAGATGAATTTTGCTTAAATCTCAGTAATATATTTATTTGTTAATAACTGTGTGTGTGTAACCTGTTTTTTAACTAAATTTTCTTTCATCTTTCACTGCAGAGGGTAAGGTTATTGTGGTGGCAAATGATGGTGAGCTATGCAGCGCTGTGCAGTTCTACCGAGTCTCTTTATCAGGTGGGCCAGGTAAAAGATAAAAACATTTGACACTGCAAAAAGCCCTTTAAAATGTTTCTTAACTAAAAAAGTGCTTTTCTTCACTGGTTTTTGTTGGAGCAAAGATTGTAACATCAAAAACATAACAGTCCAAAATGATTATTGTAATTTTTATCATAATCCTAAATATTGTAATTTTTGTCATTATTTTATTGTATATTTAGATCATTTTAAACACTGAAAAGGCCGACTAGGGAGAGTTAATGGAATTTGCATTGTGATATAATTAATTAATTAATTAATTGGTCAGATGATCAATGTTAAGTAATACTTTATATACCCTTGTAAAAGTACGCAATATGATGCTTAAAACTGTTACCAATTCAGGCTAAGTTCAATACTTATGATCCAAGATGTTACATGTGTTTATTATTTAAAACTGTTTAATCTACAGATGACTGTCAGATCACATCTGATCCTCTTCCTTGTTTGTTTCCACATTCCCACAGTGAGCTTGATGATTGTAAGTTGCCATTCCTTGTGGCTGGATAGATATTGGGCTACTTATAGATAGACTGGTTTCGGTTGATTGTCATTCAATACCCTCGATCGATACCCTTGTTCAACATCTTGATCAGTACTCGATCAACATCCCTATGGATACTCATTCGACACTCGATTGACACTTGATCAACACTTGATCAACATTTGGTCGATAGTCAGCCATGTAGACCAACTCATATGCATCGATTGAAAATTAGTTAACTGTCAACTAACTGTCGACTGAAGTGTTGATGGAGTGTCAACCAAGGTGTTGAGTGAGTATCAATCGACTGTTGATGGAGTGCTGATTGACAGTCAATCAAGGGTATCGATTGACACTCGACTGTGGATGCCTTTAGTCCACATGATCCACATATTAAGTTAATAAGCTTTTGAACATGTATGACAAGTGCTAATAACCCAAGGTGAACCAACGACTGTTAAGAGAACTTGACGAATGTTGGTCAGTATCATATGTAGACATAATTTATTCTGCATGGGGAGGGCTATGTACCTGCAAACAATTTATTTTAACTTAGTATTATGAGTCACATTATGACATTGTAAGAAATAAATTTGTAAGTAATGTAGCATTTTTTGGTAGCTGCAGTATTGTAGGTAGTGTTTTATTGTATTATCTGTAGCTTGTAAGTAATGGCCATATTGTATTGTAGGTAGTTTAAGAATATTGCAAAATAAAATATAATAAAATAAATATAAAAAACAATTCATTTTCTAGGATTCTAGCAAATGCCAGGACTCTTTGCAAATGACTAATTTGGTCATTAGTGAAAAACTAAGCAAATCAGAATTAAAGAATTCACAAGAGAAGCTTTCTACCAATCCCCTTTGTGTCTTAGAAGACATTAGGTTTACTTGCAGTGAATATAAGAGTAAAAGTAAAAATGTTTTGTGCCTGAAAAGAAAGTAAAGATTTCAGATGTTTTAAGGCTACATGTATAGTCCATTCCTCAGCAATAACCAAATTTTCATGTGTATGTCGTTTTTTGCTCATTTTCGATCATTTAATTTTGAATAGTTTATATCAACGTTAATCATTTTAATGACAATTTATGGTGCATTGTCTGATGTATAGACGCAGAATATCATGTTAATAACATCCAATTCCTATCCAGACACTCTGGAGAAGCACTGATAGTCTGTACAACTGGTACGTACTTCATTCTTACATTTCATTTCAGTAGCCGCTTATAAGCACGGGGTTTGTACTGCGACTGGAAGGCTTGAAAAAGTACGGCAATCTGCTTGAAAATAAGGATTAAGTAAAAATATATAAAAACCTTAATTTACCCTCGGCAATGTTTGTAGNGAAGGCGGTGCACAGAAAATGTTGAGTGAATATTGCACCGTGTTGAACCAATATTTCGATCGTGAATGTGAATTAATATAAACCGTTGAATGTGAATGAATACACCCCATAAATGTGAGTAAATATATTCGTGAATACAAAATACATTGTTAAATGTGAATTAATATATTTCTTGAATATAAATTTAGTTGTTAAATGTGAATAGATATATTTGTGAATAATAATAACAACATTACATGTGAATGAATATAAACTTTGTGAATTTTGCACCATTTCGCCAACCATAGTAGACCTGTCAATTTGTTCTTTAGGTCAAATTATTTCAAACTACATGTTGGTTAGTTTGAACTGTACCTGGTTCTGTTTGCTGATGTCTGTGTCTGCTTTTTTGTTTTGGCTGTGTCGAGATGTCTGGCAGCTGGACAGTGCTTTTAAAATACTTTGTGTCCAGTTAACCTCAATAGCATTCTGGTTAGCCTGTTCATAAACATAGTGCAAAGATTAGCTTGAATATTGCACCAGTTTGCCTGTTTAAGGTTAGTTCTCAATAATAATGGTTACATGAGGGCAGGTATATGAAAAATAATATCTGCTTACGTAATGTTAAGGCCATCAGAGAGCTTGCTTTAATTTGAAACAAAGTTAGATTTTGTCACTTCATGAAATATATTGATGCTTACATGTAGCTGTCTGGATAAGAACTAAAGATTTATTCAGTTGAGAAGTTAATCCACAGTACTTTAAATAACTGGCGCAGTACTACAGTGCCTGTTGCTGAGTTGTGATGAATTAAGAATTAACAAGTGAACATGTTTTATTTGCTCTTCTGCCAACAGAACTTGTTCAGCTTGTCTGAAGATCAGCAACTCTCTCAGCAACATCCTGTTATGCATAAGAATCTCAGTGAACGTTTCAAGACCAATCGAAGCAAACCTCCATTGGTCGAGATTGGAGGCATGAGGGCCAAGGATGGCTGGGTGGCTATCAGTGAAACTGGCCTTGTAAGTTACAAGTTAGGTTTATCATGATCACTTAGTTTTTAAGCTAAACTTGTCTGATAAGAAACAGTAGAGGGCCATGGTAGTGTGCCATGTAGTTTCATTAGATTAGGCATAAGACTGGAAACTACTTGGTGAAGTGACCCAGACGTCTCAAGACAGTCACTCAAATATACATCTCTAGCAATCACAAAATTGACTGGTACATCCCAATCTGTAAAAGTATGCATTGTTTGAGACTCAAAACTGGCAAACAGATGCTTAACAGGTTTCTTCAATAGCACTGTGATAACTTTATTAAAAACTTTTCAAATTCGAAAGCAGTAACAGTACGATGAGATGAAGTTATCCAGCTGAAGATGGCTGACTAGCCCAGGGGGGTTATTTTGGGAATTTCTGGGTAGGGATGTGCTGCTGGGACCCTGGAACCCTTAGCCTAAACCAGAGCTAGTTCAACTGAGTTTTGCTACCCTATGCTAGAGTAAACTTCCCAAATCCCCCCATCTATCGATACTGTGGAGGCTTATTTGCATAAATTTAAACCTACCGATTTGATTTTTTTATATTTTTGAGTGGCAATTTCTGGTTTCCTTAGTCTAGGTAAAATCTTCAACCAACTGGTCAGTTTCGTGAAAAATGATGCCCTATTCTGGGCTCAAATGCTCCGATTTATATACCCTATCCTCAAGTAAACTGCTTGAAAACCATACCCTTCACAGCGGCACATACCTATATAGCCCATATATGACAGTTCCCCCCTCCCCCCCCGGGCTGACTAGCCAGTGGTTTTGCACAGCTACCGACCCTAATTGGCACTCCCTGCAAGTTATGTATACGTGCACTGGATATTCTTTTTTTAATATAATATTGCAAAACACGAGAGACAGTGCCTTATCACAATTTGAAATACAGAGAAGAGAACTGAAAATATGACACGTAGTGGCTCAGCGTACAAATGTGATGAAACTCAAGTGTTTTATATAATTATCTTTTTAATCAAATGTCAAACTAGGGAGCAGAGGGAAAAATAAATAGAAAAACCTAAATTTAGAGTGGGTCACTGTCAGTGATTATTTTTAAGTTGATGAATTCATTATTAATTAGTCAAGGAATGAAACACATGATAAATATTAAATTTAGTGGTTAGAGAAGTAATACAAGACAGTCTGTGCTGTGTTTAGATTTGTGTAACAACCATCATGCCAGAAGTACAAATCACAAGAAAATGTTTGGCTCAAGTGAGGACAAGAGTAGCTGTGGCTGATCTGGCATTTTCTAGCAGTGAGTGTTTTTTGGAACATTTTACAAACAGTGTGCAAGTGATGTATCCACAAAGGCTGCTCTGAAATAACTGGCCATTGTACAACAAGTGCTACACTAGCAGAGTTGCTTCAATCTTTCTTATATAAACTTGTAATAAAATAAGAAGGGACTTTCTTCAGACTTCTTTCCCGACTCATCTAGAGAAAATCAAAGCAACTTCGCTAGCAAGGTTCATTGTTGTATTAAAGAGCAGAGGAGACTTTTAAGCCTTCGTTTCATCAAGAGTAAAATGATTGTATTGATTGGTGCATGGCCTGGACAAAAACTCTTGGTCACTGTAAGACTGGTTGCTGTCATATAGAGGCAACATGCAAAGAAAGTTGTCTGACAAGTGGATTCTGCCCTTTGTTTGTGTAATGGCCGACTGAAGTTTTTTTGCAGTCTGTCTGCAGACCCTCTATTTTGTCTGGAGTTTGTTGAGATTGCAACCAGACATTTATATTAACAGCAGGGATATGAGTGAGCCAAACTTCTAGGGGTGACTGGCTGTACAAAAATGGACAAATATGAATATTATAATAATGATCTTCACAAATTTAGACTTTTTGTTGGAAGCAATATGCAATTCTGTACCATTTCATATTTGCTTTCAAAAGATACACTTGAGAACAAATAAAGTTTGTGGCTGTAGAGGTCTTCCTCTGATTTTAAACCTTGGGAAGAACAGGAGGGGAGAATCCCATGTAAAAGGACAGGGGTGCTTGTCAGAAATTTTGAAAACAGCTCTTAAGAGTTCTTTACAAAGAACCTGCGTTGTGGACCTGGCTTGAAATTTTTTTCACCATTAAGAGGTACCAATTCTTAAACAATGTATTATCTCCTGACATATTTTTTCAGCTTAATACCCTAAAAGATACCGCAAAAGCTCCTGCTGTGGACCTTTTGAGACTGAACACTCTAAGAGCTACCAAAACCGCTTTTTTAACCCCTAAAAGATTCAATGAGCACCGCCATTTCTTTTATAAGGGAGTCCTCGCCCTTTGGGGGAAGATGAATTTTGCTTAAATCTCAGTAATATATTTATTTGTTAATAACTGTGTGTGTGTAACCTGTTTTTTAACTAAATTTTCTTTCATCTTTCACTGCAGAGGGTAAGGTTATTGTGGTGGCAAATGATGGTGAGCTATGCAGCGCTGTGCAGTTCTACCGAGTCTCTTTATCAGGTGGGCCAGGTAAAAGATAAAAACATTTGACACTGCAAAAAGCCCTTTAAAATGTTTCTTAACTAAAAAAGTGCTTTTCTTCACTGGTTTTTGTTGGAGCAAAGATTGTAACATCAAAAACATAACAGTCCAAAATGATTATTGTAATTTTTATCATAATCCTAAATATTGTAATTTTTGTCATTATTTTATTGTATATTTAGATCATTTTAAACACTGAAAAGGCCGACTAGGGAGAGTTAATGGAATTTGCATTGTGATATAATTAATTAATTAATTAATTGGTCAGATGATCAATGTTAAGTAATACTTTATATACCCTTGTAAAAGTACGCAATATGATGCTTAAAACTGTTACCAATTCAGGCTAAGTTCAATACTTATGATCCAAGATGTTACATGTGTTTATTATTTAAAACTGTTTAATCTACAGATGACTGTCAGATCACATCTGATCCTCTTCCTTGTTTGTTTCCACATTCCCACAGTGAGCTTGATGATTGTAAGTTGCCATTCCTTGTGGCTGGATAGATATTGGGCTACTTATAGATAGACTGGTTTCGGTTGATTGTCATTCAATACCCTCGATCGATACCCTTGTTCAACATCTTGATCAGTACTCGATCAACATCCCTATGGATACTCATTCGACACTCGATTGACACTTGATCAACACTTGATCAACATTTGGTCGATAGTCAGCCATGTAGACCAACTCATATGCATCGATTGAAAATTAGTTAACTGTCAACTAACTGTCGACTGAAGTGTTGATGGAGTGTCAACCAAGGTGTTGAGTGAGTATCAATCGACTGTTGATGGAGTGCTGATTGACAGTCAATCAAGGGTATCGATTGACACTCGACTGTGGATGCCTTTAGTCCACATGATCCACATATTAAGTTAATAAGCTTTTGAACATGTATGACAAGTGCTAATAACCCAAGGTGAACCAACGACTGTTAAGAGAACTTGACGAATGTTGGTCAGTATCATATGTAGACATAATTTATTCTGCATGGGGAGGGCTATGTACCTGCAAACAATTTATTTTAACTTAGTATTATGAGTCACATTATGACATTGTAAGAAATAAATTTGTAAGTAATGTAGCATTTTTTGGTAGCTGCAGTATTGTAGGTAGTGTTTTATTGTATTATCTGTAGCTTGTAAGTAATGGCCATATTGTATTGTAGGTAGTTTAAGAATATTGCAAAATAAAATATAATAAAATAAATATAAAAAACAATTCATTTTCTAGGATTCTAGCAAATGCCAGGACTCTTTGCAAATGACTAATTTGGTCATTAGTGAAAAACTAAGCAAATCAGAATTAAAGAATTCACAAGAGAAGCTTTCTACCAATCCCCTTTGTGTCTCAGAAGACATTAGGTTTACTTGCAGTGAATATAAGAGTAAAAGTAAAAATGTTTTGTGCCTGAAAAGAAAGTAAAGATTTCAGATGTTTTAAGGCTACATGTATAGTCCATTCCTCAGCAATAACCAAATTTTCATGTGTATGTCGTTTTTTGCTCATTTTCGATCATTTAATTTTGAATAGTTTATATCAACGTTAATCATTTTAATGACAATTTATGGTGCATTGTCTGATGTATAGACGCAGAATATCATGTTAATAACATCCAATTCCTATCCAGACACTCTGGAGAAGCACTGATAGTCTGTACAACTGGTACGTACTTCATTCTTACATTTCATTTCAGTAGCCGCTTATAAGCACGGGGTTTGTACTGCGACTGGAAGGCTTGAAAAAGTACGGCAATCTGCTTGAAAATAAGGATTAAGTAAAAATATATAAAAACCTTAATTTACCCTCGGCAATGTTTGTAGCATAAGTGCTAGTGGGGCCAAGCAAACAACTGAAACAAGTAATTCAAATTGAACATAACAGTGTCGAAAAATGGTAAAAAGCTAGGAGTTTTTCCAAGGTACTAGTCAAATTTCGTGGCAATTTTGTCTTAGCTGAATTGTTCAATCACACGATTACTATGCCGTGACCAGCTGCATTGCATCTTTGTTTGGATTTTGGTGTTACGTTTGTCGAGCTTCTCACTTTGTAAAAATGGGAAGTGATTTATAACCTTGGGTCTGGAAAAATAAAATAAAAGCTTAGAGCAATAATGGAAAAAGTGTTGAATTTTGTGCGCAAAAATCTGTATGAACACTGTTAGCAAGCTTAGTTGACTTGTCAGACTAGTTTTGGAAAGGTTCAACTTAACTGTTTATTCAGTTTTAAACTCAGTTATAACATTTGCAGGACCATTTGGGAGCTGTATTAAACAATGGGTGAACCTTGACTCTATTTTTACAGAGGCAACGTTCAAGTGCAGTGTATTCTGTTTTAAACTCATTTTGTAAATTTGCAGGACCGTTTGGCAGCTGTATTAAACGGTGGGAAATGAAGAAAGAAATAATCCAACTCCATGAACGATTTAAACAGGAAACAATTGCTCGTCCACGTCTTCAGAATTACAGTGTATATGTAAGTCAACGAAAAAAAAAGGCCATACACATGTACATGAATCAGGGCTGTGCTCTAGAAGCGCCCGGGTGCCACAAGCGACTAATTTTTGCCTTTGGGCGACTGGAAAAACTTACATTTTTCATATAAGCTTATAAATAAGTGCTGGGAACCCAGGATTTCGTGGTTAGGAACCTTTGGACTCCTCATAATTTTTCTAGGACCACAGCCTTGTGAATGATACAGTCAGAAAACATGAAATGCTTTCAAGAACACGATAGAAATTTAGAAAGCATATAAGCCGAAGTTGAGTTTTTTCTATATTGTGCAAATTCCCTCAAGTAAGGTAGTACTTCGTGGAGATTGTCGAATTGTGAAGAACTTAAACGTGTCGCTCATTCTAGTATTTGTGATCTAATGACGTTTTGGCAATGCCTTTGTTTTCATTTAATGCTTTATAGTTTAGAAAGTGCACAGAACAATCTATCCGTTACACATGATTTAGTTTAAAGCAATAGGTTTGCTTGTGGAGTCGTGTTTACATTAAAACAGAAATATTTACAGTAGTAATATGATAATTCTACAATTCTACAATTCTAATAATTTAAAATTCTAATAAAATAATTCTATAATTCTAATAAAACTTAAAATCCGTCACATTCTTGTTTGCGTTTGAATCGAGGTCGCATTTGAGTCTAATTGATTATTTGTAGAGATGATTTTGAGGTATTTCTACCCTACAAGTCTTCAAAAATACGTCGTTTTAGGAGTCAGCTGCTGACGCAAGTAAACTTCCATATAAAATTGTCCCCCGAAGATAAAGTTAATTCATCGAACTCTTATCTTAAGTTATGGCCCGACCAAGAATACAGCCAGATACTTCTAAGAAACTGCCAGACAGGACGAACGTCTCTTGTAATGGGCGTCTCTCAATGAAAACTGATTTCTAGATCCCCATAAGAGGGATTGTCTGAGATTACATTCTGATGACGTGCACTACAAAGATCGTTGGAGCTCTCTGATTGGCTGTCTATTTATTACGTGTCTCGGCTGTATATGGACAACCAATCAGAGGCGTGAGTGTCGACTGAATCCTTGGCGGGCAATGTCTCAAAATTCAACGTTATTACCACGATTACCGTTCCTTTCTTAAAAAGTAAATTTTAAACTTTTTGAACATTTTTGCCGTTGGAATTTTGTAGGAGTGGAGGAACATCAACACATACAAGGATGCAGCGAGGATTTTATCTCTTTGCCTTCCTCGTCTACCGACACCGAAAGTGGACTTTTTACCTATGAGTAATCTGTTGACTTACCCTGCATCAATCTTGCTGGTTCAATATGACGACGACAGACTTCAACTGTTAAACAGGTATCTTTGCAGATCATTACTTGAATATTTTCCCTTTTTACTTGTTCATTTTGCCGTTTTACTTTTCGTCCATTCATGGTTGGAACCATGTGACTTGAAACTTGCATTGTAAATTTTGTAGCCGTTAAGCGTTTTTATCTTTACTATTGTTTACGAACTTTTTTTCCCGTATGTTCTGTCCTAGTAGCTGCAGCTGTTGTATTCTTGAAATGTTTTCGTACATTATGATACAAGTACATAGTTTCTAGTTCCTTTGTTAAAGTTACATTTCACTGCGTTCACGTTCTTTGAAGATGATATTTATGCAAATCTTCGGTATAGATGCAGTTGTGGTGAAGAGTTTCCAAAATTTTGGTTTCTCCTATCTTGCAGTGTAGGTCTCATGCCAAGTGGGTATTTTCCGACCGGCACCAAAATGCAAAGTTCCGTTGACAGTGACTTGGGTACGTATGCTGAGACTTAAGGTTTTGATTGAAACAAGGGGTTTGCGAAGTCTAGGAATCTCGGGTTTCGAAATGGGTTGACAAATCACTCACTTTTGGCTTGGAATTTATGATCACTTTTGTGTTCTTCTAACATTCGGCATGTTGTAGTGAACTGCAAAACAACCGAAACACGTAGTCGTGCTCAAGGCGTTTGGAAATGTATTTTTACTTGTTTCAAGAGGAGGTTCAGTTAACACACCAATATTGATGAATGTTTCAAAACAGGAAACGTTTTCCGTGCTTCTATCGAGTTGTAGAAACACGAGAAATGCTGCACGGGAACTCGAGCCGACAGGCGCGTGTTTCCACAGTGTTTCCTTGTTGGTTACTTATGTTTTGATTTAGTTAGCAGATGACTTGTCTGGGCCCTTGCCCATTAGGCAAGTGAGATCAGAAAAAAAAGTTACTCGCCCGGAAACAAAATCTACTTGTCCTGGACAACTGGACAGCCCCTTTTTCTAGCCCTGGAGTTATAAAAGTACGGCTCTTTTCACGTGCTTTCTTACGGGGTGTTTGGTAATTATGTACCACAGGTGTTGCAGCCAAGAAGGCACGTACTTCAGTAGAACGTTACAGTACCGGTTGTCTTGGTGCCATCTGTTACTCTCCCTGCTGCTGCTGTGCAGTAGGAGTTACCATGACAGGAGATCTTCGCCTTTTTAAACTGCATCATCTGGGAGGTGAGTTCTAGCCAAATACGTTGTTCTAAAATAAATGATTTATTGTACGAAAATGGTTCTGGAGACACTGTTTAGTCCAGGAATCTAGTACCATTTCGCTTTGCTGAAGCACCAGGGGACCTTTATTAGTCTTGACATTCAAAAACAGTGCAGGAGCACTCTCAGTACTCCGGAAATTGTTACATCGACTTGGATTCATCTTGTCCTCTTGTTTAAGGTGGCTCAAAATAGTTTCCAACACTTAGATTTTGATGGGTCGTTATAACCACTCTTCATCACTTGAAAATTTAAGGTGGCTCTGAACCTTACCTACAGAAGTTTTTTAAACTTTGCCAAAAGTTGCATCTTATCATGCTTATCAAAAGTTGATAATATAAAAAAATTTTACCGTGCCGTTTTTGAATTATAAGTCCTTAAAGCTGTAATTAAGGGTGTTTTTGGGAGGTCATACTGTTGCCATGGTAACCTATTGTGTCACGATGATTGGGCAGTTTTTTATATCATGACTGTAGCATCAAGTGATAAAGACTGGCTACAACGACCCATCAAAATCTAAATGTTGGGAACTGTTTTGAGCCACCTTAACTCTTACTTTGATCGCGTCTTGTTTTCAAATTGATAACATCAGGTATGTTAGTTTCCAAATCAATGCACGCTCATTATAGATGTATTTACGGTAATTTTATTAGTACAGAACAAAAGCACGCTAGGATAAGACGCGAGATGTGCTGCTTGATTTGTACATGTTGTAAGCGGCTCTATAATGTTTAGTTTCCTCGCAGTCAAACGTGTATTGGAGTTTTCACTGCTCTGATGGTTTCCTGTCTGAGTTCAGCAGTTGCCTACCAACCATTCCATCTGCTGAACAGTTTCATTTCCTCGTGCACGTTTGATTGAACAAACTTCAAATAACTTACAGACTTCAATAATACTTAGTCCTAACTAGTTCTGATTTTCTTGTCACAGACAGTATGGGTGGAATTCGTCTTAAACGCAGCCTGACCGATCTTCTGCAGTACTGTCTTCTCACTGGATGGGAATGGTGGGATGTTCTTATGGCAGCACATCTTGGAACTCCTGCAGGTTAGAACTGGAAACTACACCTCTATACTCCGTGGCTTTCTTGTAAGAAGTCTCGTATGGGAAGTCTTCCTTAAAGGGGCTCAGTCACGGTTTGCGCATATTGAAAAGTTTAGCCTTAATTTTTCAAATTTGTCGTTTGTAATCCGTGTTAATCTTCTCTATCCTTAGCCATCCTTGTTCCTTGATGGTTTATCATTATCTCTTTGGTGTTTTTCTATCTTATTAAACTGTTATTTTCAGGTTTGCTACCATTTAAAGGTAATTTTGTGTGTGGCCAAAATAACTCAAAATACCACTCCTTTAACAGAATCGCTCAAAGTTAACTTGTCGAAGTCTGTTACGTTTTTTCTCAAAGGCGATTCCTTCTTTGAATATTGTTGTATCGTAATATTTTCAAATGACCTGTTGGTTATGTCTTTTAACAAGAACTGGTTCAGTGGTGCATTCTCATTGTATGTTGTAGCTTGGCATTTGATTGATTTACTATCTATCTTTCGTTTGTTCGTTTTTTCGTTCGTCCATGCGGTCGATCAGTCAGTCTATTTTTGGCTAATTTCACTCTGTCACTCACTCAACGACATCCACTGTTTCATTAATCCATTCATCTTAAATGTGCATTTTAAATAACGACAACGTATTTTAACTTAGGAAGGTAACTAAAGGTAGATTCACCTCCTCAGCTATAACCTAGCTTTTCCGGCTTAAATCCCCGGCGTTTCTCTTTAGATACTCTAGATGCCATGTTAAGGCAACTCACAGATGAGTTCAGCATTCAGGACATTCCTCAGCAGCAGATTCGTCTTTCCAGATTCAGAGCGATCAAGGCAAGCCTGTTCAGGTGTATGAAGGACGGAGCAGGCCAGGCAGTTGATTGCTATGTTCGTCAACTGCTCGTTGCCATAGCAGTATTCTTTAGGTGTCTACTGAAGTCATCACACAGTGCTGCTGAACAACTTAATAGTAAGTCTTGCTTTGCAATCCAGCTTGCATGGTGCAATCTCTTTCTGCATGTTTCTTTTCTTTTCTTAAGTTAACCACCGTAGCGAGTCAATGAAGCTGACGTTTCGAGGGTTAGCCCTTCGTCAGAGCAAAGTGGGGGATTGTGGGTTATGTGTGTTTATGCACTGCGCTTTGGGGAATGGAGTAACGCAGTACTAGAGAAGGCCTGGCGACAGAAAATGCACGAATGAATTAGATGAAAGACTTTTATTGATCCCATGAGGAACCAAGATACCAAATTGTTGCCTTGGTGGAGAGAAATCCCATAAGCAATCATTTTACGAGGGATGGATGGGGAGATTAGAATATTTGGAGACAGGTGTAGAGGCATCTTGTTTTTGTGTGCCCTTTTTTTCCTCGGCTCCCTTTTCAACAGCGTGATAATCTGTACCACGTGAGGTAAAGGTACTGCTCCGTAGCTTTCTTTTCAGTGTAACGTTTGTCAATTTTGATCTCGCTCTCATTACTTATACTCTTGTTGCTTTTATTTCTTTGAAGAGATTTCAACGACCTTAGATGTTGAAGTAGACAAAGTGTTGCAAGTCTTGGATACAAAGGAGCTGACTTTGGAAAGCAGTAAGTTGCGTGCTGACAGGGGTTTCATTAAGTGCCGGGTACCGGGCAAATTGACCGGCTCTGAGGATGATTTTGCCCGCCTGGTTTGACCATCTAGAGGAAAGCTTTTCTTGTAAAGAAGCTCAGTTCAAAACATTGTGCCCGCCTTTGAAAACCAGTTGGCATCATGTTGAAAGCGATAATTAAACCCACTTCAGTCTTAATCAACGTGAAGTGCTAACTTAGCTGATGAACACTAAACTGACAGCTGAAGCTAACTAGCATGAAGGAATTCGGCTTCTAACTGCTTGCCGCGCAGTTGAGATATGGCAACATCTTTACTTGTAGGAAGATGCCGGCTAACCAAACGAGAAGAATTACTCAGTGAGACTTTGTTAGAATCTTGACTTAAGATTTTGCCTTGCATAACTTACTCTACTGAATGCCACGACAGATCTTTTTCCATGAACCTTTATGCAAGCATAACTTTGAATGTCTTTGATTTTGTTCCTATAGCAACGTTACTTTCAATGTTTCCTCTCATCCAATGGCTGACTGACCTGGCCATGTTTGTAGTGGTGTCTTTCACTTCTCACCACAGTAAAGACTCTGCACCTGGGGTGAGTATACATATCACACATTATAGTTTATAACATAACAGATACTACGCGCGCTCTCATTGGTCGATAGGTGTGTTTAGGTGAGAGTATGTAATCACGGTTGTGACGTTTTAGATTTGCGCGTATCCTTGAAAAATATTTTGTCAAAGCAATAGAGTACTTTTCCGTGTTTACATATCCTCGTCTAAACACTTGGGGGGCTGGGGGAATTCTCGGAAAGTTATGCAAACCCTCGACTGCATCTCGGGTTTGCATAACTGTCTCGAATTCTCCGAATCCCTGTTTAGATAAGACTATGTAAACACAGAAAAAGTGCTCTTGACTTACTATTGCTTGATTATTAATCCTTTNAAACAGGGTACAATAGTCTGACTTACAAAAGTCTCACTTACGGTATGGGAACCGACTCTAACAACCCAGCAGAAACTAAAAATAGGTTAATGGGGCACCATTTAATCTGTTTTTTTTTTTTTTTTTTGGTTTCATAGCGGAACATGTACGCTCTGTCGTTCTTAAATCCGTTCGCGCCAGTTATTCAACCGATCAGATGCAAAACCAAAACCAATCGTTTTAGACTGCTTTTAGAGGTTTTGATTTTTTGAAGTCAATATGTTTGCAATAGCATGACGTGGCCGATTTATGTTACAGGTAAGCTTGATTCGTGACACCAACACCCTTGGTACTTTGCGGGAAATGTTGGTGCTGATTCGTTTGTGGGGACAAACCACTCCTACGGTACTGCCGTCCATTACTCCATCCGCAGGTAGGATAATAGGGTGTTTCAGTAAACCACGACGGCGCCGGCGACGAGAGCGTCGCCAAACAAAAGGTTTTATGAGCGGAACAATGGCTGTGCACGTGCGTTTTGAATCTTGGTACATTTCTTTGCCATCTTCTGCAAAACAACAACGTGAAATGACTAAGTACTACATATTTTAGAGAACGCGAACCGCAATGGCTAATTTTTGGTATCTTCTTTTGGAATTGAACGCTGTTAGTGCATGTTTAGCCTGACCAAGTTTTCAGACCGATAGGCGTACTCAACAGATTTACACAGTTGCGATACAAATACATTTTTTACAAGGCGTCGTCCTCGGCGTCGCCGTCGTCATTGCTAAAACTCCCTAATCAGGCTCAGCGATGATGAGTGATGCTTACATCTTAGTCACCGACCCTAAGCTCGATTATCAGCCGTAGGCTGGACTCGAGCGAGCGGCGGAAATCGATCCTAGTTACATCCTTGTCTCAACCTTCAGTCGTGTTCTGCTCCTAGAGAACCGAGACGTTCTGCTCCTCAGTGGGGAATGGGTAACGACGAATTGTATTTGGGGAGCTTGACAATAAAGCTGGGGGGGGTGTACCCTGAGTAGGTGGGAGGGGAGTACCAATAATCCTAATTGCTTTACTGTACCGCAGACTGTACATGCACAGAAACCTAAATTAGGTTCCAGAGTTTGTGACCCACCACGGTTTAGCCCTTCAATATCACAGAACATAACAACTGTGGGGTTGATCCACAGCTTCCCGTGACAGTTCTAGCACCATTCTGTTACATTGTACTATGGCGAAATTAATTTTTTGTCGCTAGAAAATGATTTTGACTTCGCTGGTGTTGACAGCAAGTCATTTAATAGGTCTGTCAATCGTTTCACCAAGTCGGAAAAACATCAACAGAATCTGACGTGTTTTTTACTTCCTCCACAGACAAGAACGAGTCCTTGGCGTTGCTGTTCAAAATTTTCACAAAGATTTGGCTTCTCAGCAGACAGGCCAGTGCAGATGATCCCGACATGCATGTCGAGGACAGACTGGCTGGTATGTTATTAGAATTACTTTAATCTCGTCACTGTATTGGCGATGAAGTTATTAATCAGTTACCCGCGATAACATATAACGATAATATGTGCTAAAATATATGTATGTATTTTGTGATGAGGATTTAGTTCTACCCCTGTACTAATGGAACACTCTTTCCAGCAACATTCAACAGTGTATGTCTTCAACGACGTTCAAATCTCTCAAAGACTCGTTTTTTATTGGTAAACAAGCATTTTACTCAAGATTTACCAGTATTTGATTTTTATTCTATTTTTAGCGCTTTGCTTTTTATACCTGTAGAGCCCTATCGGACAGTAGGAAATTTTGCACTTTATGAGTATTTTTTATCATTACTCTTTGTGGTTTACGGAGAAAGATAACAATTTCATCCAATTTGTTGAGTATTAAGCTATTAACAAATTTGTGAGCGAAGAATGTGAGTGGAAATGTATTTCAGTTGTACTGCTTAAGTTAGTGAACTTGCTTTATTAATGATTGCACCTTATTTTCCTGTTGTACTTTTATCTTTCCAGCTGAAGCCGCTCCTCTCAGTCCAAATCCGATGTTTCTTCAAAACATGCAGATACCAAATTTGAGTAGAGGTTTGTGTTAATTTAAATTTATCGTTCTCTTTCTTAACGAATAAAGCAACATCCATTTTATGTTTTTTGGCCATACGTCTTGCTTCTGTTGCCTCTTTCCAACTAGGAAGCTAATAATACAAAACGGCAGGAAATTTAACTCTTGAAGATATTTTTTGTGGTACTTTTTTCTCGACCACTCGATCACTGGCTTATAGATGGTAGTCTACAAACAACTTGCAGCATGAAACATAATGGACAATTTAGCTTCATTCGTGTTCTTTTAACCCCGTTCTTTTCATGTTCTGTGGAATCTCGAAAACGTAAAATGGTCGTAATGTAAGCGTAAAGGTGTAGGTTTCTTAACAAACTGTTTGGCTTCTTAGGCAGACAACTATCTATCGAAAAGAAGTTGACCACTCTCGCGAGTTAGTGAAGCTGACGTATCGATAACTCTTCGTCAGAGCAAAGTGTTAAAGAACGGTTGACGCTCGAAACATCAGCTTTACTAGCTCGCTACGGTGGTAAATGTACCATTATGAACTTCACGTTGACAAATAGCTAAGTAGTCGTTATATAAGAGTTAGTTTCAAACAGTTTTCTATTCACTTCAGGAGTGTCCGGCAGAGCAGTAAGTGGAAGCATTAGGCCAGGCCTGTATCAGTTCGGGACACCACCAGTTTGGCGAACATCTCATCAAGTCTTTCACCCATTTGCGTCGGCCATTTTTCCGATACCTGCTGATGGCTCGTATGCCATAGATGTCGTGCGGAGAATCTACTTGGACAAATCATCAGAGACAAGGTTGAAACAGTGCACGAGGTAATGCTTCAGTTTGATTTGCTTCCTTGACGGCAAGCCGTTTAAGACTCTTGAGCAGTGTGTGCTTGACTGTCAATCAATCAACTTCTTTGCTTTAGTTTTATGCTTTCTGAGCTCCTTGATTGGTCAAAGAAACTTCAAGTAAATTGATCTAACCAATCAGAATGAACGACCGTGACTTGGTTTCCGCACGTTTTCCCGCGCTTAGTTTTGGCAGGCAGCCGGTTGAATGATTTTCAGATCGAGTTCTGATTGGTTCATTGTTATTTCCCTTCGTTGTGATTGGCCAGAGTGACTACTCTGGTTTCAGTAAGCCTGTCAGGATGTGTTGGCAAGGCTATTGGGAATCATTTTTGTGTATATAAAGTGGATCATCGTTTTGATTTTGTGATGCCCACGTGTTGGAAACGAAGTGTTGTACATAACTGTTTCGTATTCTTCATGTACTCGAGGTAACGAACGTCTCTTAGGGTCGCTACGTTAGCCTTGGCCAACAAACTAGAGACGAATTTCTTAGCCTACCGATATTATTTATTACTTTTTTTTGAGAAGGAATATCAAACTTATGAAGGCATGAAGTGGAAAGAGACGGTAAATATTTGTTTTGCTTTCTAAGCTCCGGCGACGCATATTCAGTTGAAAACAGGCGCAGCAAATTGTTGAACCTGAAAGCACAATTTTCCTTCCTGTTGCCGGGGATTTCATTTTCGAGCTTCATGTATGTCCCAGAGCAAGATAGAGAGTACTTAGCATATATATGACGAAACTTGTTGTTCTTCTCTTCACACTTTCTATTCTGATCAAGTGTTCTTTTCTCACAGGTGTAACTGTGTATCACTGGTAGATGGTATCAGTGACCATGCGGCAGCAAAGGCCTGGGAACAGCGATGGGTCAGAGCATGTGTCTGCGGTGGCAGCTGGAGGAGATTACCCTTCAAGGAACAACAGAATGTTGCGGCGGCCGCCGCTACTCCTGCTTCGGCAACTGCTGCTACTGGTGCTGCCACCGTTCCTGTCGCTAGCCAGTAGGACCGCGGTTTAAAACGAGCAAAGCTCTTGCTACAGCCTAAAACCAGGCACGCATGTATCCTATCAAGCTCTCTGTTGCCATAAGAGATGATCGTGTGTACAAAGGGATGATGTTGTGGTTGGCGTGTCGTTCGTAACTATGGCTAACCCTCCACAGACTGATATGACGTTGCTGTCAAATTAACACGACTGAAGACTCGAGACTTGTCGTTCTCATTGTGGACGAACCTCAGTTGAACTTACACCCAAGCTCATACAGGGAAAATCAGTAATAATCTGAGTATGTTTGCGCGCTTAATTCTTTGCCCGCACAAGATACCTACGCAATCCCATCCCGATGACATCGCTTCACAGAGTTGCATCATGTCCGGTTGGTTGATTCTTGCAAGCCAAAACTGAAAAACCGTGGAAAATTGTAGCCGCCATTAACCGTGCAAAATTCTAACCGCCATTTTCTGGTCGGAATTCGGCAATCTCTCGAACGGGTGAAGAAATAAACGCTCAGACTCAGACATGTTTCGGAACCAACAAATCAGTTGACAGGTTTGTATGATAGTCTAGATATAAAAATACGTTATATAAGAATGCCTGTAGTTTATTTTATAATGCGGACAAATTATTTGCCAGATGTCTTTGCCAGAAGATGAGACAAAGAGACCAAGAAAAATATTTCGTTTTGTGAAGTCTTTACTAGGTCTTTTTATAACCTTTCGATACTTGAAAGTTTAAATGTTATTGATCAGAAAATATGTGCAAAATTCAACCCGTTCATTTTCGTTTTATATTATATAGTATTTATTTTTTACCACCCAAGGGACATCTGTTCAGTTACTTCACGTAGTGAGGGTGGCCTTTCTCACCTGACTGAAGAAAGATTGGCGGGAAAAAAAAAGTGTAAACCATAGACGACATAACGCAGTGGTGTTGTGAGAAACACGTGAACTATGTCTTCATTTGCATGCATTTAGAAATCGTCCACTTGCACTATAGCTTTTAAGTAGATTAGTACTAACTTGATAAAATCCCACGAGGAAAATCATTGCATATTAATTGTGGTTACTAATTCAGTTTTTCAATTGCATGAGCTCGTATTCTTGAAGGTTTATACTTTCTATGGACAACGTTTTTCAGTCAGATGTAGTTGTTGTAGTTTGGGAACGTTTTCGTCATAGTCGACTTATGTTTGCTCTTGTAATAAAATCACTGTACCGTACTTACTCAGTGTTGTGTTTTTTAATCACAGTGGATCATTCTGTATCAATCATTTCAATATGTAATTTCTACCTATAGTGATGTTCACTGTTATTTTTTTTTCGTTTCATTTTTTTCATTGTACTGTAGATTAGATAGATTACATTGCCTCGCACCGCTCAATACATCTGTTGAATCAGTAGGCTATATGAGAAACTTATTTGGTCTATAAAAAAAAACATTCAGCCTTACTGATTAAAATATTTTGAACTTAATTGATTCTTTTCTCACTTCCACAGTTTGTCTCATATAACCCTTAATCCAAAACATCACATCATACCACTCTATATGCCTTAAAATTTTCAGTACTATTGAATCTTAAAGTAGAAGTCTAGAGGGATTTTCTATGTTCGCCTTAAAAGCATCCAGCCATCTTGCAGCCAATTCATCGTCCACCATACGTCGATCACAAGACAAGGTGACCGTCATCACGCTATGAATTGTCTCGTCTGCAGTGAGTACAGGGCGTGTTCCACCCACAGCCATGATACAAGCCTGTGGAGGATTGATAACAGCAGAAAACTCCGTGATGCCGAACATTCCCAGATTGGAAATTGTGAACGAACCACCTTGGAACTCGTGTAGTTTTAGCTTGCCTTCTCGTGCACGGCTGGCGAGATCCTGTTTTGGAGAAGAGCAGATAATATCATGTTTAAAGGAGTTACATCGTGGTTTGCGCATCTCGTAAAAGTTTAGGCCAAATTTTTCAAGTTCTTCGTTTGTAATCCGTGTTAATCTTCTCCACCCTAAACCATCCTTGTTCCTTTATGGATTATTATTATCTCTTTGGTGTTTTTTCTATTTTAGTAAACTATCATTTTCAGGTTTCCTTCAATTGAAAGGTAATTTTGTACGCGGCCAAAATAACTCAAAATACCGTGACTGAGGTCCTTTAAGATACAGCATGAACAAAGTGTCGGGTCATTGTGTGTGATTTGAGACGTAATATATCAAACACGAGAGACAGTGTTTCATCGGGATGTCCACACACCGAGAAGAGAGTTGAAAATACGACGCGCAGCGTAGTATTTTTGACGAAATTCGAGGTGTTTGGATAGCAGATGAAACACTGTCTCTCGTGTGTTTGATATATCTTCTCAATCCAAACAAAAACCAAGGAGTAAACGGAGAAGTAAAATCGTCAAAATCTATGTTAATTAATACCGGGTATCCAAACCTCCTTCACAGTTGTTATTTTCTTTGTTTTAACTTGATGAATTATTAATGAGTTTGAGAAATACAGGGGACGTGTTTTAAATAAATTGCGCGCAAATTTAGATCGTTGCACTTGCCCAAATATTCATTAGATTTCGCTCGTTTAACAGGTAGACATGTTGACTTCCTTCTACTCTCAACTCCTTTTCCGTCGCGCGTTCAGGTCGACGAGAGAATGGAGTTGAAGAAACCTTTCGTACGAACTAGTTTGATCTTCCGTCATATTGTTAGGTTTTCAAGTGGCCAATTCTTTGTAAAATAAACCTTACCCTTAGAGTTGACGAGATCTCCGCAAGTGGAAGGTTATCAGCAGTTTTGACAATAGGTGTTATGAGCCCTGAATCGGTTGCTACAGCAACAGAGATATCTACATCCTTAAGAAGCTGAGCCTCCTCGCCGCTCCACACAGCATTCATCTCTGGCACCTGTCTCAAGGTCAAGGCAGCGGCTTTGATAATGAAATCATTCACTGACACTTTCACTTCAAGACCTTTCCTCAACTTAAGGAGATTGTCCATAACACAGTTTGTGGAGGCATAGGTATGGGGAACTGTAGCTTTAGATTCTGCCAATCTCTTGGCAATAGTCCGCCGCATGTTAGTGTGAGGCGTATCGGTGTGTTCAGAGCTCACAACTGGATGGGGTGCTGATGATACAGGCTTGGGTGCTGAAACTACAAACAACATAGACTGGAATACAATCATCAAAAACCACTAGGTCTAGTTTTGTGCCCAGTGGTTCAACAGGTGGATGATAAACAGCTATTTCAGTGGCATTATGAAGCAATTAGAAATTTCCACAAGGGTGAAATGCAAATATGTCGCACGTTACTGTTACGTGTTAAGTAAATGGGGAGTGTGTAATGTGAAGCAATTCATTGACAAGCAAATTTCAGGGAATTCTTCATCAGTTTTTCACAGGTGAGAAATCTTGCAGCAGGTTGCTGCCATGCAATTACTTGTTCAAAGTTTTTGTCAGGTCATGTTGCAATTGAATTGTTACAGAAATCTCACCTGTAGGATACTGAATGCACATAAAGGTTCTTCACAAACATGCTTTTACTATGACTCACAAAGTACAAGCAAAAAAACAACCAATAAATTGTTGAAGTTTATCATTGTTAGGTTCATTTACTGTTGGCTTACCACGACTGAAAGTTCCGTAAGTCAATAAAACGTTTTTGTACCATGGGTCCATAATATGTGTAAAGGATTAGAGCTGCCCAGCCCTCTGCAAACATTGCATGCCTATAATGCTAAGTAACGAACAGATAGATAGTAGAGTGGCCACATGCACATGCAGGATTTATGAAAGGAGAGGCCGGTATAGGGTGGTAGAGTGAAGGTCCCTCCACAACAAGACAATTCATGGCGACAGAAAGAATCTTGAGTAGGAGAAGGGTGAGGAGTACAGTCTCATGAGAGTTCCCCTGGATCTACCTATAACTTAGGCAGGCTAGAATTAATGTTCATCTGCGCAAATTATGATTACACCCACCTGTTTCCTGTGGTGATGGTTTAGCTGGCTGCAAAGGAGTAGTTTCTGTGGGCACCTTTGCTTCAGGGGAAGCCACCTCTACTGGTTTTGTGAAAGGCTGCCCTCCCTGGGCTACATACCTCAGCACATCACCCTTGAGCAGTCTTCCTTTTGGACCAGTCGATTGAATGAGGCTGGGATTCAGCTTATAAGTCTCAAGAAGCACTCTAACAGCTGGAGACATCAACACATCACCAGCACCATGTGCTACGCTGCTTTCAACTGATGCAGAGTCTAGTTCTGTTTCTCTGTGGGTTTCTTTGAGACAAGAAAAACTTTGTGTATGTCAACTGTTTTGAATGTAGTAAGGTCCTCTTTATAACAGCTAAGAGAATCCCACCCGAAACACACTTTTCCTCTGAGAAGGTTGTGTTCACACGTGTATGGTAGGCAGGGTGGACACTGATGACACGTTTTTCATACTAACATCTTGTTTTTGGCTACCAAAATGAGAAACTTAGTAATTATCATCAATTGGGCATTTGTAACTGGTTGTAAAATCTGGTCTTATTCACATTAAAAATGACCCGGGAGCCAAACTATATTATTCTGTATAAAGGACCTGTGTCATGATATGCATATGTAACACTCTGATTGCACCAAATGGTCCTCTACAAGGTTTTTAACCAATAGAAAACATATAATTCAGCATCACACCAATTTACAAGTTTCAATGGTTAATCTTAACCAGGTAAAACTGAAATCACTAAATTTGACTTTTAGAAGCACTGAGTAAGGTTTGAAACTTTATTGCAGCTTTTCAGATAAAGAAAAACAGAGAGAGTGGTTGATCAAATTAAAAATCTATGGAAACGCTTAAAGAACTACATACAAACTCTTATTCACCATTCTCACATCCCCCACAATACACCTTGTTTGCCCCCCAAAATTCTGCATAACCTTTGTTTCCCATTTCTCCTGGGTATTACAGTCATCCCAAGAGAAACTGAAGACAATGCTTATACAAAATGTTGCGGGGCAAACAAGGTTTAGTATGGGGGATGTGGAAATGGCGAATAGAATGCTTGAGTTACCTATGTAATAGCATAACTGTACTGTCAGCTGTCATACCAGTGTCGTACCTGTATCAAGCGGCACCTCAACCTGTGTGTAATCCACACCTTCCTCTACCATAAGAGCAATTAACTGATTTATCTTGACATTTTTGCTCCCATCTGGAACAATAATCTTTGCCAAGATTCCTTCCTCATCACTGTCCATAGAGATTGTGGCTTTGTCAGTTTCAATCTCGCAGAGTACATCCCCAGGGGAGACAGCATCACCTTCCTTTTTCATCCATTTTACAATGGTTCCTTCTTCCATGGTGGGTGACAGTGCAGGCATGAGGATTTGTGTGGTGGGAACAGCTAAAATGTCATACATGTTAAATATCAGCAGACAGTCTGAACAGCACATTTAGGCGTGAGTGCAGTGCATGTGTAGTATGTATTGAATCTTAACAGCAAGGTTCCGGCAGCCTGAAGGGCCACCAAGCGGAGCACCATAACTATAGGAACAGAACCACACATATGCATAGAAACAGAAAACCTTACAACTCTTTTTCATGGTCAACATGGCTACTGGAATGGATCGCAGACGTGTGCACCCCACGACAACAAAAAACAACTTCTCATAACATGGCAGCCATACTCCAGCTCATAGGTCGACCAAGTTTTACAGCATACATCTTTGATATGGTCAATTGACATCTGTCATGTATAAATCTTCAGAGTGGTCAGTGTATGACATTTCAGAATGCAGATTCCAGAATTTTGAACTACTATAATCGTAATCCCATTTCCATTACCGATAATACACAGGCTAAGCTGAGCAATATAAAGGCTAACCTGAGTGATATTTAGGCTAACCAGAGTACTATTTGGGTCTAAATGTAGTCTGCAGTCTGCAATGTCATACACCGCCTTCGGAGGTAATGCTTTATTTTGGCTGAGCAGTGCTTACTGATTGCTATTATTTACAATTACATTTTTCAGTCTACTGCAAACACAGATGCTGCATCAGTAGGTAATATTACGTTTGATATTATGTTTGTATGTACCATGTCAAAGCTGTCTGTTGGTCATGTGGCACAGAGAAGTGAACCATTCTATGTGTATGTTGCATTACTGAATTCTTTTTTGGATTTATAATACATGCTCTAGAGTTGTCAGCTCGACCATTAAATTACAAATGCAAATTAAGCATCTCAAGTTATTGATCTTAAAAGAGCCGACGTCCTAGAAAATCAGGAAAGATCGCACCTTTGATCTTTTTCCATTTTCTAGGATCAGAAAAAGTTCTGTCTTTATCAGTATTTATTACATCGGTTATATATTACTGACTTCCACTAAAGACCAGATGAACAAGGAAATCAAAGGTAACATCAGGGGCGGTAAGAAGAGGCTAGGCTAAGCCAACCAGCTAATAAATTGGTTCTTCTTCCACGACTAATCACAGGGAGCGCCTTACCTTGGCGAAAGATCGATATGAAAAATGTCCTTCTACATTCTTTAGCTCCTATTCCTTTCGATATTGTAGACTTTGCAGTTGAAATGTTGGTGGTTCTCAGGAGGCATCTTGTTGAATGAAGCCCTCTAGACCCCACCAACCGTCCCTGCGAGGCCGCCATGTTCTTTCCAACGCAACCCGAATGGACTGATGGGAAAACATTGGAGAACAATAATTCAAGGACAGTGGGGAGAGTAATATGACACTAACGGTAAAAGGAATAAAGAGTCAGAAATATTTTTGTGGAATTCTCGAAATATTAGCGGAAATTGATTGAATATATAATCTGTCGAGAATTTGAAAGAAAAGTGAAATTTTAACAGTCACAAATATTTTGACATTGCAAAAATAGTTTTTCCATGTGCACTGTTTGTTTTGTCTAGTATTTCTAGTAAATCACAAACAATAATAAAAATTTATTTTGCCTTCCAAAGGGTTCAGATTTAAATTTCTGTGAAACTGCATTACCAAAAAAAAAAAAAAG